ACACCGCATGCACACTGAGAGTATTTAATGTGCAGGCAAATGGGGGCCGCACACCGCGATTCAGAAAAACCAGAAGCCCACAAAACAATTAATAACAATTAATTCAAATAACAATTCATACAGGCAGAAAATGATATAACACTCAACGCGGCCCCAGAATGTCGAGGCCAGTTTTTTTTTTAACCTGTGAACGAATTGCTTGCATCTTATCTGCCTTTCAAACTCACAAATCTCCAGATACTGGGGGGAGGGGGGTGGTGGTAAATAACACCATCAAGGGGCATTTATTCTAATTACAAAAATCTGGCTGCGACTGAATCTGTGCTTTGTATGTTGTATTTTACATACTCTTTTCATGTGATGCATATATACAATATGTTATACAAAGTGTAGGTTTGCGACAATTTCTACACTGATATTAGCTGTCCAGACTGAATGCAACAAATAAAAAATAAACAAACACTGCTCTGTATTAGGGGAGTGATGTAACCAACAAAAGAAAGACTGGCTCACCATCAGACTGCAAATGGGCACCAGGCGTCGCAGAATCACGACTAGAACTAGCTAGTGGCAGAAAATTAAGCAAAACTTAAATTGAATGGTGAGTAAAACATTTCCATGTTATACAATTTTCGATAAATGTCAGCAAAGTGTTTTTTTCTTTAAAAAAATGGAAAAAAAAAATGCCGATAAGATTCACCACTTCGTAGTAACGCAGGAAGCTTCCGTATCAAATAACAATATACTAATAACAAATGACGACAGGCAGCTTCCTCCGCGATGACCCTTACCGACCCCCCCATATCTGTGGATATTTATGGTACGCCGTCTGGGGCTTCCCCCGATAACGCACAGCTTACGTTAGCTGCTCCAAGGACTATAAATCCAGAGAGGAACTGTAAACACAGAGATCACTACTCACCCACCAGTGTAAATGATACCGTTTCGCGATGACACACGCCAGCACACTAATGAAGAGGATCCCTCCATACCCCACCCGTTCAGTATGACACGGCTTTGTGTGCTGAAACTCAGGCAGATCTATTGGTATATACATTTAAATATTATCACAATTATTAATGAAACCACAGCTTTTTAAGTAATGTCTATAATGAGCTGAATAAAACTGCTTCCAGCTAGAATAAGCTGTACTTTAACCGTGTCACATGTCCTTGTAGTGGTTTAACTCCCCTTTCTCCCAGTGTAACACCACGGTGAATTAAAAGAGTGAGTGAGTGAGAGAGTGAGAGCGGCCGCTGACCTCGTCGGGGCTGGAGGCCTGGTAGGTGCGGTTCTCGTCGCTGAAGTCCTGGTCGGCTTCCACGGACTCGGTCTCGCCGGAGTGCGACTCGTACACGGGCGTGACGTTGTGGCACAGGGCGATGGCCTTGACGGCCTCGTGGATGCGGCTGCTGACGCTCTTGCGCACCTTCGGGGGGGCTGGAGGCGGCTTGCGGGAGGGTGTGGAGCTGGTGCTGCTGCCGTTGGAACTGACCTGTGCGGACAGGGGTGGGGCGGGGTCTGCAGATGAGCCACAGGGTCTATAGAGGGTCCCAAGGGGTCTTTAGAGGGCTCCATGGGGTCTACAGAGGGTCCCACAGGGTCTACAGAAGGGACCAGTGGGTTGACATATGGGCCACAGGGACTACAGAGGGCCCAACGGGGCTAGAGGGGCCCGCAGGGGCTACAGAAGGGACCAGAGGGGCTACAGATGGGCCACAGGGTCTATAGAGGGTCCCACAGGGTCTGCAGATGAGCCACATGGTCTATAGAGGGGCCCACTTGGCCTACAGAAGAGACCACAGGGTCTACATATGGTCTACAGGGGACCCTACAGGGTCTACAGAGGAGCCCCCAGGATCTATAGAGGCCCACAAGGTCTATAAAAGGGGCCACTGGGTCTAAAGAGGGCCCAAAGGGTCTATAGAAGGGACCACATGGTCTACAGAGGGTCACACAGACAGTCCAACAGGTTCCCACAGGGTCTGCAGAGGCCAGTAGCATCCGGGCTAAAAGCATGTGCACCATATGAGTCATCCTAAATGCAATTTTCAATTGCACTATTCAAACTATATAAATATCTATGCATAAATAAGGCATTTCTTTAAATATACAGTAAAATGTTTCGATAATTCACAAGCTGCATAAACATTATACCATACTGTATTTCTTATATGAGTTACCACTTTTTTTCCAAGAACTATCATGTTTATACAAGATAGAGATAGAAAAAAAACCATCAGGTCTGTCATACAACAGATCAGGAGTGCCCCCCCCTCCCCACCCCTCCTCTCTCATGTCTCCCCCTTTCGACTCGCTGCACCCATCAATTTCGCACGGCAGTGGGCTGGTTGGCACAACAGTGTCCCAGCTGTATTTGACACAATTTATCTGCTCTAGTGGAGCACATCATTTCTGATTGGTAACTGCCAGCGTAAAAAAAGCCCCTTGAAGGTTAACATGTGAAATGACAACCTTCCCCGATCCGCGCCCCCCCCCCCCCCCCCCCCCCCCCCCCCCCCCCCCCCCCAAAAAACAGTTAGTCCTCACCTGACCTGGATCGGTATTTGGCCAAACAAATATAGAACACAAGCCTACTAAACCCAACCCCAACCACTGCCAAACCACACTAACCTTTCCACCAATCCAGTTCAGATCTGTCAAACACTGAGCCTAAATGGTCTAAAAACCCGCCTGAGACATTACAGGCCTGAGGGACTCAGTCTCTCTCCCCTCTGCAGCACGGCTCATCCCTGCCCCCTCCCACTACAAGGCTCAGAGTCACCTGTGCAGGGTATCGGAACCGGGCAAGACAAACACGTGCGGGAGGCGAGAGCCAAACACAGAGCTTTGACAGCTCCAGATAAGAGAACCCGATTAAGACAAGAAAACATTTTCCCTGGAACACTGGCCCTGTGCTCCTGTCCATAGGATTACATCAGACATCTACACTAAACCCTCCCAAACCTAACTAATACCCTAAACCCTTCTGTTGTGTTTGGCCTTAAAAGAAGCGAGAATGGAAATGAGGTCATAGCCTCCCGCCTCCCAGTGAGTAACCAATAGGATTAGAGCTGTCGATGATTGACGGCAGAAAAATCCCAGACACAGGTTGGTTCGAAATTTTTCTCAATTTATGTCCCACCAATAGTCAGGGGGGATGATGTAGCCATGGCTCGGCTACCCAGGCAGGATGTCGGCGTGACTCGCTAAGGGACGATCCGCGCCCCCCCCCCCCCGATGCTCTCACCCCCTTGCCACGCTGCGGACGGCCCCCGTCTCGCAGCCGTCTCCCTCGCTCCCCGTCGGTGGGCGTCGCCGACCGAGCTGTCAAACGCCAGACCCCGCCCCACCCCCCCCACGGCCGGGGCGACACGTTCGCATTCCGCGAGCGCTACCACCATTACCGTGTCAAATAAATTAAGCCAATTTGCTTTTCTGAATTATGTTATGTTTATTGATGTCTGTATAATTCAATTTTGCACAAATTCCATTAAGGATTATGCCCCCTGTCACAAAATGCGTTCAGGGGGTTAATATAATCAGGTTGTAATAGATTTACAGGGTGGATTACAGGGGACCTACAAGGCTATTGTCATCTTAATAATACAGAGGAGTGCACCGCATATAAAGATCGATTGAGCTGATGGGCAGCCATCGAACTCTACTGAGAGACTGACCGCCCTTAACAGAGACGGAGGCTCAGATCCCCACCGAGATGAACTGCTCTCCTGACAGGCAGAGGCACAATCATTTCCTCGTCTTGTCCTCCCCTTTAGCTGCACGCGGCGGCGGACCTCGATGCAGGGCGGAGGCCCTTCGTTCTTTTGAATGCAGGTTACCTGGCCGTACGACTGCGTGATGTGGCTCTGGATCTCGTCCATCGTGTCTGTGCCGTAGGATACGGTCCCCAAGTGGAGGCGCTTGAAAATCATCTCGTTCTGCGTCAGAGTGCCTGCAGGTCACACGACAGGGAAGGTTCCGGGATTTAGAATCACTCATGACTGCCCCCTCTCTCCTAATGAGCAGAAATCGGTAATTAATGGTGACGTTGCAAATATGGCGTACAAATACGACGCTAAAATCATGTGTGTTGCAGCAGATCGGAGCTGTATAAAAAGTGCAGCAGGAGCGAGCAGGTTTCCCCTTTAAGGGTGAGTTGAGCTCTCTTGGTGCAGGGCAGTGACCAGATGTTAAACACGGAGGCATTGAACGTGCTGCAGGAAAATGCGGGTGGATTTGACGGGGAAGCGTCGCAGGATGCCCAGGGCCCTGTCGTCTGGGTGGCCCCGCATGTGCCTCTTTGCTCGGGTCGGTCGCATGCAGACAAACGTACTCAGCTCCCTGATGCACCGGCCTTGCTAATCTTTTCCTAAGTGACTCATGCATTTCCATCCGCATCCTATAAAGAAACGCTTCGCACGAAAGGGACGAGCGACCAACATCCTGGAAGAAAATCTTAACGTCTCCTGTCACATAAAAAAAAAACCTTTTCCCATAGTAAACAACAAAGAAAAACAGACCCAGTTTGATGTTTACTAAACTTCAGTAAAAAGGCCAGACTGTTAAGTGCAGTCTGTACATGATGAATACACGATCATAATGCCTTAATGACTATTCATTTCACAGTGCAAATACACCACTATAAACTACTGCACGCAAATCTACTCGTGTAAATAAGTAAGGGCTTGTATGGTTTGTTAAGTCATCATACAACTGCCTGCAGTATAAATACATCAGAGGCCCACACACACGCACGAAAACTTAATACCAGGAGGAATGTAAAAAAACAATTACATTATGTTTATGTTATTCCCTGATAAAAACTGCTGGACATACAGTCACATGCATCCAGGGAGCCATGAGAATCCAAAAGCCCCTTGTGACCGTCACCGTTGCCACACATTTCCTTCTGGGTTTCTTGTCACTTCAATCAGGAAGACAGCATATCCGCTTCCTGCTGATTCGGTGACGAGCGGATTTTTATAGGACCTGGGATGCCATCCCAAAGTGAAGGGAAAGTCACCATCCTAGCTCAATTAATTAGTTTAATTATGCTTTAGTTACGGAAGCGTTCCACAAAAAAAATCACATCTGTAAGTATACTGGCATTATATACACATTTATAAATACACACAACTTTTTAAAACACTACAACGTATGCTACAATTTACTAAAATGAAGGATTAGGCAAGTGTGTTTGTGTGAGATGTACCACCCAGTGACCTCCAATTCTTCCCCTGGGAAAAATACCTCCCGGCCTGCTCCTTCCCCTGGGCACCGCCCCGTAACGCCAGGGAGAGATCAGGGCAGGGGGCTGCAGCGAAACCGGGCGCCCGGCTCACATGCGGGAAACTTTCAAACTGCTCCCTCACACGCCGCTCGACGTCTGGAAATACCAACATCCTCGCAACAGATTGAAAGCGAATCAGACTCCCCGTCTGCTTCGAGCACCATTTGTTAATTCGTCACGCAACGTCTCGCATTTCTGTTCAGTGTCAGAACGCACCGCGAGCGAGCGGGCGACAGATTTTATCTGTTATTCTATCAATCTTCTATTGTACGATGATCGCCTCACACACTGGAGCCCCCCGGCGAGTCTCTATAGCAACACTGCTTCAGATCTTACTGGAAGTACCGTCACCAATAAAACCTTATTAAGGCGTTTAGCTTTCTCGCTCAACAGTAAGAAAACCGTAATGTAATTTATGAGATGATTTGTCTCAGATACTGTAGGGGCGGTAACGGGGGGGGGTGCTCGGGATGTTTATTGACAAAATGCAAACCCAATTAACCGTCATGGGACAACGATGTTTCAGTTAGGGATCAGGCCCCAGCCACTGCGACTCAATTTCCTGCTTGTTGTTCAAACCCTTTGATATGTTTATATTATCAGTCTTAGTTGTAGTAGTGGGATCTGGGAACATCAGGAGAACTGCACACATTGAATGTTTCAGTAGCTTAATCGTAACATTTGGTAAACATTTGCAGAACAAAAAATTGTTAGCTGGGATGCTGCATATCCAGTCACGGCCCCCGATTAATGACTGAAAAAGTACAATGACGACTCAATGATTCGAATTCATCCAATGGCAGCGAAGGAGCGCGTTTTGACCGGCCTACCCGTTTTGTCCGTTAGCAGGTAGACCAGCCTCCCGAGCTCCTCCGGAATAGTGCTGGTTCGAACCACGGTGCCGGGAATGTGCTCATCCTTCATGATCATCCACCCGTAGGCAGCCTTGCCCATGTCCAGATTGACCCGCAAGCTGGGGGGTGGAGAAGAAACAGGGGGTCATGGGTCAGACAATCAGCTAAAAGCAAAAGGCACAGAAACATCGGGGTTTAACATCCATACAATCATCCAAATATCACCCAGCAGAGGGAATACTAGTTTCGGCATACGGATTTGGCTTTTAGAATTGGTGAATTAACTGACATTGATGCTAATTGACATTATTAAGTTAATCACTAAATTGCAGTAATGTGTGTCTACAAACCTCTAGTAAAAATATCATTTCAGCTTGGAAAATATTCATAACACTGGAAACACTTTATCTCAAATGTGTTTAAGCAGGCGGAAAATGAATGCTGGGTCACCGAAAGAACATTCTGGTAATAGACCAACAAATACCGATATGCTAATATGAATACTGATATGCTGAATACCTGATTGGGATTATGTAGGAGAAGAGCACCGTGAAGCGGAAGAGGTTACGGAACCAAGGGCCCACGAAGCCCTGCAGTGCTACCATGACGACGGACAGTACCACCTGGGCTAAAAAGAGGGCCTTGGTAAGCCGGTTCAGCTCCAGATCCAGCAGCCCCACCTGCAGAGGCAACAGAGGGACAGGACAGCCATTGGCAGGGAACTCAAGGCGATGCATGGAAAAGGTCATTAAAGGGTTAAAGGGTGTTTTTCTCAAAACCACAAAGATTGCACTTGTGTTCTTGGCAAGAAAATACTTGCTAACTTGCCTCCCAAGAATGAACTTTGGATGCAATGAATCATGGGACTGTTCGTTGGCGAGGATGCAACTGATGCATCTTTGATATTTGGGGCTGGGCAAGAACGACATCCGGGGATTTTTGTCGTCCTCCGTACTTCTCTTCTTGAATATTGGAACTGTACTTTGGCAGTAGAATATGACATCAAACGGGTAGACGGGAACACAAGAACTGTCAGGTACGCATATTGATAAACACCCATGGTTCTGAAAAATGCACCTTGAGAACATTTCAGGGAGTTGCTAACAAAGAAGAGAACATGCCGCAGAGTCCATCATGGAGACCTGCAAGGCAGAGAAACAGCAGGACAGAACTGCACTGGGCGCAGGACAGAACTGCACTGGGCGCAGGACAGCACTGCACTGGGCGCAGGACAGCACTGCATTGGGCGCAGGACAGAACTGCACTGGGCGCAGGACAACACTGCACTGGGCGAAGGCAACAGCAAGCAGCTCGACAAACTGTCAGACATTCAGCTGCGTCCGCCGAGTTCCCGTGACTACGATCAGCATGTTTGGAGAAAAACTTTAGTGCACAGGAAACATGACTGTACAATGCATGATGGGGAAACTGGCTTCCTTTTAAAGAAGAGACTGTATCAAGTGGAATATAATATTTCAGTTAGCCATTTTACATTAGTTTTCAAATTCTATTGCAAAAAACAGTATTTTAAAAATACAAATTTATTCTAAATGTAATCACACAAAAAAACTAACTGTAAGACTAAAAAAAAGTGCAAAAACTAATATGTTCAAGTACATAAATAAATACAGGCATTTTTTAATTAGAGAGGAGAAAGTTCACAACGGTAAAGTTTTCTGTTTTAAAGTTTGTCTCTCAGTCAGTGAAGCGTGTGGAGATGTTGAATGAAAAGTATATTAAAAAGGCATACAGTTAAGTCTCTGTAAATAAAAGAGTCCTAGCATTGCACTGGTCCGGGGCGGATAGGGGGCGACACCTGCTGATTTATCAGCCGCAAATAAAAGCAGTGCAGAGCATGGTCTCCCTGTCCACACTGCCCCCGCAGCTGGAGCAAGCAGGAGATAGGGCACACGGCGTTTGAATCCTGCTGAGGGGCATGCAGACTTCTGACTGGGGCTTCCAGAAAGTTCTAAGGTGAAGTTCAGGGTCTGATGAAGACAAAATTACCCATTCAAATGTGGGGGACAGCAGACCGAGATTGACCTAATGGTTCAAAGCAATATAAGCAAAAGAAACTAATGATTATTTTTTGACCAATAAAAAGTACAATCAGTGCATTAATGAAATTTATGGCAATGCTTGATAGTTTTAACATTTAGGATAAATCTGATTGCCTGAGGTTGAGCTGGAACCCACATCAACTTGAAAGAGACTCTCTCTGGCCACGAGGCAGAGTGCATGTGGCTGGGACAGTTGGGGACACTTCCGAGATTTCCGAGGACGTTGCCGGTGCGGCGCTGTGGATTATCAGCACGCGAGTCAGAAGGCGTCATTGTCTTTGAGGGAGAGGTTCTGGCTGGCTGAACTTAACAACTCAAACATCCCGACAGCTGAATCAACACAAACATCCTCATAGAAAAAAAAGCATAATTTCCACTGATTCAGAGCCGATCGCTCTCCCTAAGAGTGTAGCAAGAGTGCAGTAAATCTTCCATCTCCACTGAAGCCCTCATCTCCGGCCGACCTGGATGACACTCTGACATTTGGGCTTTAAGCAGATACTGAAAGAACCTTTGGATGCCTTCAGCACGAAAACGTCCTGAGAGGGGGGTCATCTGGCTAACGGAACCCTGGTAGATTTAAGATACCAAGGTTGCGAACTCTCACGCGCTTGGCAAGACACTCATGCTTTCAGACTCTCACGCTCACGCAAGAAATCTTACGGCAAATCTATATTATTCCATCATAAACCCAAAATTAGCTACATCAAAAGCGTTGAGGTAGTGAGCAAAACCCTACAGACTATTTTCAACGTAATAAAACTGTTATGTACATGTAAATGCATGTGCATGCGTGTGCAGACTTGTCTGGAATTGGAAATCTCACTCCAGCCAGCTGGCCAACCATGTGATACAGGTTGGACATAATGGTTGGACATAATGGTTTAACGGTAAAGCCATGATAAGACAGTTGAGGGCAGTCATTTTTATAATTGGCTCCCATCATTACAACATACTTTTTATCATGGTGACAACACACACAATCTTTTTGAGTGTTTATCTAATATATACCTGAAAGCCCAAAGACTTCTCTGGCCCTTAACAGGTATTCATATTTTTATCTAGGATATGAATCTATCGACCTTAAAACTCACTTCCTGGGCTACGGACCACCCAAGCATGCAAACTAATTACTTTGTTACCTTCAGCTATCCAGTTACAACAGTAAAATCTTTAACACATAATAAAACAGCCCTAATCTCTTAACGTTCTCTTCCTTCTGCCTTTCCCGTCCTGTAGCTACCAAAGAATAACAGAACAAAAGACTACAAACTAGCAGAATTGCTACATATACATAGATACATCACACAATGAGTCTGGGGACGCTTTCAGACGAAGGCGCGTGACAGACGCCCTGTGGTGAGGAGATGACGTCACCAGTCTCAGTGAAAAGGGTCCCTTTCCTAATTGGAACGACACAACTTCACATTTAAAGTACAGGTCTCAGTGCTTCAAAAGACAGCCGACTAAGAAGGATACCACATGAGCATGTGTAAATACACTTATTTTGCAATTATTCAAGAATTTTTTACATGAAAGATAGGTAAAGATGCATTAGATTGTCGTCATCTGGAAATACTTTTTTAGGGGAGAACGGAATCTGTTTTATTCGTTAAATAATCTTGAAAGACAGAGGGAGGGGTGAATGATCTGTTTTCGGTTCCAGCTGAGCCATACCTATCCAAACTCCAACTGTCCCAGCTCATTCTAGAAATGGCCAAGCTGACATAAGGCCTCACTGCCACCAGAATCTACGTCACACACCGGACCAGGCTGGACTTAGCACACCGAGCCAGAAGAGTCTGCTGTGCGCCAAGGGGTTAGCGGTTTGGGATGGCGGGCAGCAGAGGGGTGCGTGACACCCCCCTCAAGCCAGCATGCGACGAAGATGCAGAAACATGCGTCTGATAAGACGATGCAGGACGGTGACAAGCGCGTCCGGTAACTTTCATTTAACATTCAGACAGACATGCCTCACAAAAAAAAAAAAAAGTCTTTAAAACGAATCAGTCAACTGTCGACTGAATACATCTGTCCTTCTTCAGAAGCACTGGTGCACAAGGCATTATGTTATAATAAGAAAGAAAACAAACTAAACACCTGCCAATCAAGCTGAGAGCTGGCAAATGGAACTCGGCAGATGCCGCATTTGGTGCCGTGGCTGGCGGGGGCGAGGCAGGGGCGAGGCAGCGGGCGAGGCAGCGATCGAGGCAGGGGGTGAGGCAGCGGGCGAGGCAGCGATCGAGGCAGGGGCGAGGCAGCGGGCGAGGCAGCGGGCTCTGATGTCAGGTCAGTCGCCAGTGCCGTCGCCCTTCCATTACGCCCTGTGACCGCCCCCCCCTCTGCCGGGAGCGGCGAAGCCTGGCTGAACAGCCTCGTGTGCAATTGCCTTTAGTAGCGGCAGAGAGTTTACACCCGCGACATGCAGGTGACGTTAATCATCAGCAGATGACAGTGGCACTTCAGACCAGGGCCAGATGGCGCTTAAGGGTCAATGGGGAGGCGGGTTGCAGCTGAACTACGCTACTCACACACCCACTAACCAGGTAAACTTAACATTTAAATAAAGTAGCTCAATAACAATGAAATCAATGCAAGCAGAGAAAACTGGCTCCACCACCAAGAAATTTTCAGATTCATTTTCAGTCGGGGAAAAAGTCACAGAGACAAAAAGTGATTCATAGCACCTTGCAATAAGCTCAATATTAAAGACAACTGGCAATTAGCAGCAGTGAATTAAATGGCAGCTTGTCTGTGTGCCCCCACAGTGCTGAGGACATGCCCACTCTATTCATCGCAAATCTAGTCACCCAGCTTGCTCCCAACAATCACTCCCTCCTCTCAGGTTCAAATTCTGTTCCCCAGAAATGCCCCAAAACATCCAACCTATTAGAACAACCCCGCCAGCCCGTATGATCTGTCTCAACACCGGTCTGAATCTGCCAATGCATGCAGAACAGTCAGAAGAGTCAAGCTTAACTGGGAATCCAACAGCAATGAGATTTCAGATTGATTTGCATGAAATTATCATTATTTAGCTCCATAGATATTCTTCATGGGGCAGCATGGTGGTGCAGTGGTTAGCACTGTTGCCTCACACCTCTGGGACAAGGGTTCGAGTCTCCACCTGGGTTACATGTGTGTAGAGTTTGCATGTTCTCCCCGTGTCGTCGTGGGGTTTCCTCCGGCTTCCCCCCCACAGTCCAAAGACATGATGAGGCTAATTGGAGTTACTAACTTGCCCATAGGTGGGAATGGTGTGTGAGTGAATGGTGTGTGAGTGTGCCCTGCGATGGGCTGGCCCCCCGTCCTGGGTTGTTCCCCGTCTCGTGCCCGTAGCTTCTGGGATAGGCTCCGGACCTCCTGCGACCCAGAAGGATAACGAAAATGGATGGATGGATGGATATATTCTTCCATACAATCAACATAGACAGACGATTAGGCGCTTGTTGATTACGTGCTCACACAACTCATCCTGGATAAGGGGCTGTGGTGACCTCACCTCCCACATCTGCAGTGTGCCACAAGGCTCTCTCATTTGGACCACACTGAGCTATTTATAGCTAGGATTACTGTATATATAGTTACTTCATACACAATGCTGGCTTCCTTCAGAGCATCTAGCATGTTTTGCTAAACGTGGCGCCACGTGGGGAACTGCTGACTGCTTTTACAGGATCCCGCGGGCATAATCTCCTTTCACCGAATTATTATTATTTAAAGGCCTTAAATGCTGCTGCATTCCTTCCACATAAATATGATGGCGCATAGCGAGCAGCAGATATATAACTGCGGCCAGCTCAGGACGGAGACCTTCTCAGACTCGTCACTCCTGGCCTGAACGATGCACACCTGTCGCACTGGGGAACACGCACACTATGCAGAGCTTATATCCCCAGCCAATCGCAACATAAGAAATCGGCTTTAATGACAATCTTCGTCACAGGGCAAGGTGATACGGTAAGAATATCTCCTTCCAGAGGAAGAACCAGCCCTGGGGTTCAATAAATATAGGCATTAAAAAAAATGCACAGCCCAGCTAGCAATCTGGCGATCCAGTAGCAAATGGACCTGTCACTATTTATTTTGAAGAATGATGGTGGAGTCCCCCACTTAACAAGCGATTTTCGGCATTACAGCTGCTAACAATTACAGCCCCCCCCCCCCCAGCCAGGAACAGCTAGCATAAATAAACAAGTGTGTGCTCCACCGAGAAGAGGAGGAGTTAAGCGTCGGAATAACAAGCCCGACGCGGACATCTGTCACCGTGCGCCGTGCGACGAGCCTCGCATCCTCCCTGCTTGCGTTGACAGAAGGCTCGCAATTTTGGATTGGGGGGGGGGGGGAATGCTCGGGCGCTCGAGAACTCGATGTTGCGTGGATATCAGATTCTGCGCTCGCCACATGCCGCTTCCATCGGCGTTGCAATCTGCGAGGCCCGATTCCCAGAAAGCCTGCGCGGTTCCGCGGCGGAGCGGGGTTTCCGCTGGCCAGATGTGCTGCTTACTGTCCAGCGGATCTCTCAAGAACGCCTGATATTTATTATTTACATGACTAACTCATTCGTTTGGCTGCATCTTGCACTGCGGACTGCATGCTAGCACAATGCGTTAAAGTTTTTTATTATTAAACTGTGTTGCCGTCCGCTGGAAATGTCAGGGCTACATTCATCCAGCATGACACAGCTGCTGCATACATCATGTGCAGACAGTCACCTCGTACTACTTCACGCTTCTGTGCCAACATACAGTATGATATACAGGTGCCCTGGAAAATATTACCCTATACATACAACGTGAGGTAAATTCCAGCAACTCGGCAATCATTAATCATGCTAAATAAGGCGGAATTACACAGCAGAGCCTCCCAACCTTAAAATATCACAGACCATGCTGATGCTGTTAATCAGTAATCGATCTTGCTATTTCTTTTTAAGCTTGGCTTTCTAAATGAAGTTGGACCTGTCAATGCAGAAAGGTCAGTTCAACATGTTAATTAACCAAGAGGGAAATTAACTAGCTAAGAGTTTAACCGACATCTGGAGCAGAAACTTGATCCGACAAGCTATTTTTCTCGTCAAGAAACCGTGAGATTTATATGTCCCAAATTTCCAGCCTTAAAACTGCCATTGTGAATCAGCTGCCACCCTTCAAATAGCCATCCGTGAGGAATTACAGTTTACAGGGAAAACAACTGGTTTGGTGCATCTGCGCTCTCTGGTTTTCCAAGATCTATGATTTTAATTAAGTATTAAAAAAAACATCAGATCAGAGGGCAGAGGAGGCGGCGGACGTGGAGACCGTGAAGCGTCCTCGGATACGGATACAGAGAGTTCCCCCCGAGAAGTTGAGTCAGAGCAATGGGCTGGAAGAAAAAGGCGTAGGAGGACAGGAGGAACGAAGGAGACTCAGGCAGAAAGGAAGAGAAAGTGATGCGACCCCGAAGTCCAGGTGTGAAGGAAGAAATGAGGACAGCGTGAGAGGCTCTCATATAGATGCAGATCGCTCCCTCTCGTCTGGGGGATATGTATTTTTGTACCAGAAATCGATACACGGCGAGACTGACGTGAAACGCTGTGAGCAGCTGGTGCTTTTCACACTTTGAATAACGTATTACGATGAGTGTCAGGGAAGCCGCCTCCTGTCTCAGCCGACTTCCACAATCCCTCTGCCCGTCCTCACCGATCCGAGGGCTCTAAACACAGCACCGGTTTGCCAGTGCTAAAGACCCCTGACACCGGCCAGCAGAGACATGCCACCAGTCAGAGGTCTTTACACACCACAGGTTTTACCACTTTTCCATTTAATTCATAAACTGCAGATTTTTTTATTCTTGTTAACATTGTACAGTTGAGTGAACAAAGATAAAAGGAAACAACTCAAATAAAACAAGTTTCATTTATAACATGGAAGTAGTATGTAACAATGCATGTCTGACACCCTATTAACTGGTTGTGTGGTGATGGCATAGTCAAATTCTAGGCTGTCCTTTAACTTTAAATGTACCCATGAAACAGAGCAGTATTTAATGTCCCTTGCAGATAGAATGTGTCAAATTTTCTCTGCTGTTATAACTGCTAGAGGAGGTTACTTTGATGAATCAAAGATATGACATTTTCTTGCTAATAAAGGTACTCAAATGGTGAATATACTGTAAATGTATTTGCTAGCAAAGATTAATGAGTGTGTTTCTAGTAAATATTAAGTAACATGCAAATGTATAAAATCCACAAAACTTTTGACTGGTCGTATGCAATGCAAGAGAACCGACCCGTTTTATAAAGCACCTCCGTGAAAGTCATCGGCTTTTAGGAAGGGAGAACAGAACTGAACACAGCCATTCCATGGTCCGACAGAAAGCCAGTGCACAGAGGATGCTAGTGATGTTACAGGCAAAAACACACAGGTGGAACGGCAGGAGGTCTACGGATATCTTTGGAGGTCAACAGGGAGACGTCATACAAATAAAACACAAATGTGGATGGGGCGTCTTTACCTTGTTCTTGGCGTGGGAGGTGTTCAGCACACTGCGGGTCTCTTTGCCCGTGTAGATCACCACCCCAATCACTGTGCCTGCAGAGAAAGGCAAAAAATAATATCTATACTTACACTTCTGGTGACGATCGTATGTGTATATATCTTATCATCACACACACACACACACACACACACATAATTCTTGTTAGATTCAATCGTATTTCTCTTAATTTGTAAATGTTCTAACGATAAATTGTTTTTTTTTCCTCTTACTTACTACCAAAATAAACAACTTTAAACATTTTCATACACTACCTAAGACTTTTGCACAGTACTATCTTGGAATATATTAACGTTTTATTTGTTTGTGTATATTCACACACACACACAGGTTTGTAATTATATCTTTCTGGGGACTCTCCATTCATTCCTATGGGGAAAACTCTAATTCCAACATGGCGATCTTAAGCCCTACTCAGCCCTAACCTTAAACCATAAGTAACCACAGAAAATATGAGACTTTTGGTATTTTTAGTTTTTTGATTGCATTCACAGATCTTTGTGGGGACCTGAAAAATGGTTCCCACAACGTCAAAATAACCGGTTTTCATTACATTGTGGGGAACATTTGGGCCCCACCATGTAATATAAACATAATCCCCCCCCTCCCCCCCCACACACACACACACACACACACACACAAAAAGCTGAAAACACTATCACGTTCACTTGGTTAATAATTACATCAAATACGCTTGCAGCATTTCCCATAATAATTACTGATTTGTGCAAGAGTGCAAATTTTCAACATCTGTTTATTACTATCAAATCCTACAGTCTTTAAAAAAAAAAAGACGCAGATGGAGACGACATCCACCACACACACAGCCTGTGTCTCCCCATCATCTCCACAAATTGTTCTTCCATGTCCCTGCGGTTGTTTTGTGCTTCTGTGCGTTTGCTTATTTCCTCCTTTGCCGTTACTGTTTCATGTCAACTTATCCGGGGCACTTCCTGCCGGCATGATTTACACTCACGGAACCACCGTCATTAGCTGTCCTCTTTTCAGAAAAGTACTCAACAGACTAGCAAATAAAGAAATAAGTTTAATCCAGGTGATATTTCAAGATACCCTGATATACGTCAAAATAAAGCTAATTACGTACTGGAGAGAGGACACAGACCCAGACTGGTATAAGATAGCTGCTGAAACTCCCCGGCCTGCAGTTTAACTTGGGAGTGCGATGATTAAGCATGCAGGCCTGTAACCTGGCCGTCGCAGGCCCCCAGTCCCGCGAGGTTACGCAAATAAATAAATAATGTCCCGTGACATCCAGCACATTAAATAAAGAATGCATCCGTGAATCATTAAGAAAAAGTGATCAATATTCTCCCATCGTCATTGGCCAATTCATTATAGTGACCTTGTTCGAAAGACAAATGTGCTATTAATATTAAATGAACATAATGGGAGACGAAGGCCACTTATATACTTAAACACACCCTCAAACATTCTCTGAGTCATCAGAGCTCCTTGAGAAAAGGAAAGGAGTAAAAGCAGGAGTCATTTCTCAAGTCCAGGAAGTTGTCTTGGAAGTAAGACGTAAAGGAGGAGATTAATCGGCCAATCGGCAAACGGCTAGAGCTGAACAACGGCAACCGGGGCTGAAGATGGCAACACAACACCAAAAATTAAACTCTGTTTCTGATGTTGCCGGAGTTGAAAGCCCCATCTGCCCCTATCTGAGGAACCAGCAGGGCTCTGAGAAATATCCAATATACACTAGTGGCCAAAATTGCAGAAACATGCAGCATTTTTGGCATTATGCTTTAAAGATTACTACAAGAATACTGCTGGTAATGTTTAGAAACAATCAAAGAATGTTACAAATATCATACATTGGACGATTAAGTAAAGTTCTGCAACCTCTAAAAATTAGAAGGATTTCCATAAATTTGGCCATTATTGTACATAATTTGAGCGTTACCATGGTTTCGCTAACGGGCGGGACACTGAGCCCAAGGTGGACACCATGCCCCTGCAGTGACGTCAGGCACTGGCCCACAGGGAAAGTGTTCTGGTCAAGGTCAGGCCATGAGGTCTGGGTGAGGGAAGGTGTGTGCAGGAGGTGGCATAGGGGAACTCCCGCGGACCTGCTCCCCCATCGCGCCGGCTCCGGTTGCTTGAGAGCTGAGCCTGCCCGCAGATCGATGGCATGGAGATCACTAACGGCACGAACAAGCGGCGGCCGCAGCTCGTGGGGGATTGGGTAATCCGGGAAGGGGGGGTGGGGGTTACATAAGATGGGGCTGTTAAGTCCCCCCATTAGCGAGTCATCCTCCCTGTCATCCTCCTCTGTCCCTCGGAGGACAGCGGCTCAGGTGGAAGGCTCTCATTCACAAAGAGGGCACTGGGTACTTGGCCGGGGGCTAAGACAGCCACAGCACCACCTTTCCACAGCGCGTGCCGCGCACTAAAAAGCCAACCTTCACTCCGGTCAGTGGTCGGACGAAAGGGCTCCCCCATGACATCACATGCCCAGGCCCAGATAACCAGGACACTCTCCTAAAGTAAGGATCCCTGTCGTTCTTCACATGTATCGGGGGCCGGGGGGGTGACAGGATGGGAGGGGAACATTTAGGGGCTCTGAGGCTCTCACCCGAGGCCACGACGGTGCTGGCCCATAGCGTGTTTTCGATGCTCAGGCTCTCGTGGATGGCGGGTTCACAGTCCTCCTGTGAATAGAGGCACGTGATGAGTGTGCAGCCAAGTGAACGCGAACGCCAGGCACATGGCTCATGGACGACAGAAGAGGCGGGAAAACATGAGATGACATCACGGCAGTGCTTTGCACATATTTAAAATGGGGATTGTGGCTTAGCTGCTGGCGAATATGTGCAGGTGCCTTGCTAAACGGCCACCAGAGAGAGAGAGAGAGCGAGAGCGAGAGAGAGAGAGAGAGAGAGAGCAAAGGCTGAACAGATCTGAGAAAGGGGTGCCTAGAATGACAGAAAGATGAATGCCATCTAACTAAACCAATCACTAATAATTAAGGCAAGTGTAATAAGCAGCACAAAAATAATTAATGTGAAGGACTCCCATCCCGTCCAGGATGTGTCCCGGCCGTGTGCCCTGTGAAGGACTCCCATCCCATCCAGGGCATACTCACGCCATGTGCTGCTGCTGGGACTCACATGGATGGATGAGTATCGCTTCCTAAACGGCTGACTGTGGCAGCCAGCTGATTGGCTATAAATCCTTGTTGAACTCAAAGTCTTAGGGAAGGGTAAGGCCTGCTGGCTCTGCATCGCTTTACCGTAAAGTCTCAGCTCTCATTAATGCAAATAGCAATGCCTAATTTGTAATTTGCCCAGGCTAGCGATCTGGAATGTTACCCAGCAAAAAGAGGGAGTCAGAGAGATCATAAACCGCCATAAGGCAGTGTGAAAACACAGGCTTAATCCCTCTCCTTTACTCTCAGACGCCGGAGAAATCGCAGTTTATTTTCCCTGCATGCTGCTTTCCAGACAGCGAGCTGTGGTTAGCTTGTTACAGATGATGCCTAAACACAAACTTCAGCAGGGGAATAACGAGTGGGGCCACACACAGAGAGGCTGGCCTGATCCGGCACGGCCCACATACAGCGGCGCCCCGCCGAGGCATGGTGAGCATGTGCTGGCCGACGCACGGCTCCATTCCCCTGACAGGGTTAGGGTTAGGGGAAGCCTGCATCTGCCACTTTCTCTGCCTCCCTCTCTCTCTCTCTCTCTCTTTCTTTCCCTCTCCCTATGCTTCTCTCTGCCTCCGCCACTCTGCTTTTGTCTGTCACTGCCTCTGTTTCTCTCTGTCTCCCTTTGCATTTGACTATCTCTGCCTCTCTCTCTACCTCTGCCACTCCCTGCTTTTGTCTATCTCTGCCTTTATTTCTCTCTCT